ATTATAGGTGGTGGATTGTCTCTTATAAACCTTCGCCATGCTTTTTGTACGTGGGCAGTAGCAGCCCTCCTCTACAACGAAAAGCCAAACCAAGGCTGATTCCTGTAGGCTTTGTCACATATTTTGCCGGTGAAGAATGTGTTCTTGTTGTAGATTAAGGACATGTCCCAGTGAAGACTTTTTACTTGGGTGTCAACATCCCCTTGGAGAAAGCATTCCACCAGTTTGGCGAGCTCAGAGCAAATGGGCTGGCCAATTACCTCTTCCCGTAACCAGGTTGGCGTGTGGACTCCTCAACCTCTTTCTTTTGGGATCTAAGTGTCAAGAAACAGCCATGGGTCAGACGATCCATCGTAGCCGAGAGGTTGGACAATGACTATCCTTCTGCCAGAGATCACCACTACTGGGTCAAGGGAGGAGCCAGGATGTGAGTAGGGGAAATCAACAAAGTTTCTCATGTCAAATTAACTGCAAGAAGGTCACCAAAGTCCTCTGTATAAGGTGTTTGGTTTGAGGTCACCAACAAGTAGATATGCTGACAATTGTGTTGTAGCAGAATTCGAGTCAATATTTTCCAATTAGGCAAAACTGATGGGTCCTGCATGCTGCCACAGAGGTCTGTACATTGCACATCTAGTCAACAGAGGTACTTGTTTTATGCAGCTTGAGAACATCATTTCAAGATGTATAAGGGTGGCACATCAGATGAGCTGGGCATGAACACTTTAGAGAAGCAACAGCAACGCACCTCCTCCATGCCCTTGGCCTTCTCTTTCTCATCCATGAGGTGTAGGCAGCAATTCTTGCAAAGATTTTCTGGAGTCTTGTCATCCAAAAATGTTTTCAACAGCTATCACGTCAGGACGTCGAGTGCTCACAAAACTAGTGTGAGCTCTCCAACATTAGTAATGAAACCCTCTAATGTTAGCCGCAGGATCTGATAGACTACTCCTCATAGTGGTCAGCTTGAGGGTGTGTGGGGTGTGGTAGGCATGTAAGTGCCTGCCCTTGAGAGAGGTAGGGTATAGAGGCAGCTGCAGGGATGTAGGTCTGTGGTCTTGTATAAGGCGCAATACCACCTGCTGTGCTGGGATAGGAGTAGCCGAGTGGGGTGACGCGTGAGTGTGTTCACCAAATTTAGGATCCTGCTGGTTTGTTCTGAGAATAGGTCTCTAACAGGTGGTCTTTTCTGTAAAGTTCCTTTTTCTTCCGACACTGGTCCTCCTGATGTCCTTTCTTGTAGCAGTAATTGCACCGGGTATCTCGCAGGCAGTTGTTGGCGGTGTGCCCTTCCGTTGACAGCCAGAGCACAGCCTAGGTGCCTGGGGAGGGTGGACTGGATTGTTGCCCTTCTGTGTTTTGCCCGATTTGTCCTCAGGTTCTGCCACTGGAACTGCGTTAGGGGAAGGGTGGAGACTGCTATAGATGTCTTCCCTCTCCAATTCTCTTCCCGTTCCTCTTTCCCTGTCCTCTCCAGTTTTTGACAGACGTGTCCCTGCTGTTCTTACTTTGGCGCAGTAGGTGATCAGGTGAAGTGATAGTTCCCTGATTATTAACTGCACCAATCTCTGGTGGAGAAACTCCTGACTCAGAACTTGCTGATGAAGCACTGCTGCCAGATTCTGAATAGTGTCGGCAGGTGTGTGACAGGTGTAGGGTCAGAGATGGTATGTGCACTGTCAAGTGGACTGGGAGTGGCTGGAAGCAGAGATGTCAGGTGTAGGAGAATTAACAGATCCAAGGCTTACTTCGTTGAGTGAAGGGATTTGTTCCCTTTTGGGGGGGTCAGGGGGAAATTGCGTTAGAATTCCCAAAGGTAGTGTTTCAAATCGTCGTCTGTGGCCTTACGATGAAGAACCCCCCCCCAAATTATTTCCCCCTGAGTTAAGCTCAGTGTGGGACTTCCAGTTTTTGTCAATATGTCACCACAGATAGAGCTTATGTCACTTGAAGTAGGCTGGCACTGGCCTTCAACAATAGCTTGGAGGTTATCTAATGATTTGAGGAGCTCATGAAGTGCTTCAATGCGATGGATTATCTTAGCTGCAACTTTACAACACAGCCCAAGAGGGCAGTTTTGATCTTTGGACAGAAGTCCCTGAGGTAGGACTTCTGAACCTTCCTCCTGTAGCTCCAGGCTTGTATCCACATACACCATAGGATTATGGATATCCTTCAATTTTCTGAAATTTTCAACATGGCTGCAACAAAATTCTTCTGGAATGCAATCTGTGTGGCAGTAGTTGGAACAAGTAGGCTCCTTACATCTAAGAAGAATTTTGTCCCTTGTGGTATACCCACAAACACCGCAGTAACTACTGGGACAATAGCCAGATAGCGTAGATATTCTTGCTATTTTGCGATGTGAAGTCATCCCAGAGGCTTGTAGGTTTGCAATGAAGTTCACAGGAGAGAGTGGGTGGGGGTGCTTATAGCAGGGTGGGTAGTGAGGGCAGGCAGTGGCCGGCGAGCTGGAAGTGTTGCCTTCTCACTATCACTTAATAAACACTGTCTATGCTATCCACTTTTCCACTAAAGGAAGATGTTACACAAATCACAATGTTGCATTGTACCAGTCACATTGTTATAAAGCACCAGATGCTAGTACATAGCACAAGACATATAATATTAGATGCTCACTGTGAAGACAATAGTGACATCACTCCTAGGCCTGCCGCTGTCCCCTCACTCGCACCATATCTTCACCATACCACACTTAAATATCACTGATATTGCTTATATTCACTTCAGTGGAAGAGTTGGCTTACTTGTACTAATGTGTTGTAGGTAGTACTTCGTCAATGAACAGTTTTTATCCTCACCAACCATAGTATTTAAGTAATATTAATAAAGTTAGTGGAGCACACTGACACGTCTTCACCCTCTCTCTCCTCTCTCACTCTCGTCAAACCCTCGGCTATGTTGGATTGTCTGACCACAAGACTTTTTATGACAAGATCCCAACAGAACGAGGTGAGGAGTCCACACGCACAACCTGGCTATGGGGAAAAAAGTAATTGGCCAGCCCTTTGCTCTGAGCTCGTCACCACCGATTGGAATGCTCTTCTCCAAGGGGATGTTGACAACCAAGTGAAAGCCTTCACTGGACACATCCTTAATCTACAACAAGAACACATTCCTCATAGGCAATATGTGACGAAGCCTACAGTTCAGCCTTGGTTTGGCTTTCGTTGTAGAGAGGCTGCTACCGCTAAGTACAAAGCATGGCGAAGGTATAAGAGACATCCTACCACCTATAACAGGAACTTGCACAGGCAAGCCTGTAGGCACATGGGTGACGTTCAAAAGTGGGCCATTGTTAAATGGGAGGTGGACACTAAAAGCTAGCATCAGGTAGGGTAGGCTCCAAAACCTGGTGGTCCCTGGTCAAGGACAGACAAGGTTATCTGCCTGATGAACTCATTCCACCTCTAAATCGACAGGATGGGACCACCTCTACTAGTAGTCAAGAGAAGGCGGACCTCTTTGCTGAACACTGCTACCAAAATGCAAGTTCCTGATCCAGCAAGCGACCCTCCTTGGCTAACTGCAAGAACTGTGTCAAAACTGTCAGTGGTGACAATAAGGTAGGAGGAGGTGCATTTCCTTCTTAAATCGCTTGACCAAGAAAAGGCTGTGGGCCCAGACAAGTTGAGCCCAAGATTGCCGAGATGTGCAGACCAGCTAGCAGCACCTCTAACTCGCATCTTTCAGCACTGCCTAGTACAGTGTAAAGAGGCAAATGTAGTCCCTGTTCACAAAAAGAAGAGCAGAGCAGAAATCAGCAACTACAGACCAGTGTCACTCTTGTCAATCACTGGTAAGATCCTTGAGACAATAATCTCAAGACAAATGACAGTTTTTTGACTATCACTCACTACTTCGTGATCGTCAATATGGCTTCAGGAAAGGTTGTCACACCTTGAGTATTCTCCACTTTCTTGGTTTGCCTCCCCCCCCCCCCTCATCTGTGACTGCTTGACAGTAGAGAACAGAGCAAGACGTCTCATCTCTCGCCTGGATCCATCCTGGATAGATCTGTCATTTCAGCAGAGCCTTCAACATAGGAGGGATGTGGGTGGCCTTACTGTTATGTACAAGGCCAATATTGTCCAAGTACCACACTTGGATCCACTTCGAGGACAGCGTGAAACAAGCTTTTATGCCACAAGACGGGCAGAAAGCAGCAGCTTCACTCTGGCTGTACCCTTCTCCAGAACATCACTTCATCTGACATCATATATACCCAGGATGACTCTAGTATGGAACACATTCGTACAGCATAATGTCAACGAGGTAAAGTCAGTTGATCAAATGAAAATGCTGGCCCACAGATGGCTCCAATTTCATCCTGTTCCCTACTTATATGTCTCATAACAATAAAAATGCTTTCAAATGAGCTGATGTAGGTAACAGCTCTTAGCTTGCCAATAAAGTTAGGAATCCTTAACCTGTAAATAGCTTGTTAATAAAGCTAAGGATCCTTAACCTTGTCAAACCCTGTGTAAAAAAAAAAAAAAAAAAAAAAAGAAAAAAAAAAGAGAAAAAAGAAGAAAGAAAAAGAGAAAAGGAGAAAGAAAAAGAAAGAGAAAGAAAGAAAAGTAAGGGTGCTCAGGAACTCAGACTGGAAATGAACTCTGCATACTGATAAACAACTCATAAGATGCTTGACTGTCACCAAGACAAATTAGCAGCAAAACTGGCATATGAACAGAAAGCTACTTCACTAATCCAGTACATACCTGAAATGCTCACTAGTATAGCCAAGTCAAGATATAAAATTGCCTTGGCATACTCTGCCTACATTCAAGCTTGCAATACATTACAAACAACTTAAATACTTATACAAGGGGACAAAGTTCTACATAAATGCATTTATTAAAGATGTACACTAAGATCAAGGAATTATAGCAATGATGGTAACCAGATTAAAAATGCATCATAGTAAATGACAATAAAATACATAAAGATTATCAAGTAAGGAAAATGAAAGTGAAAGATTCAATGCATTGGTATATATACAGCAGCATACTGAGAAGTGTACCCTACAGTAACTTTTAAATGCAAGCAAAAGGAAACCAAAAGGACAATCAGATTTCATAATTTAATATCCATCCTTATTCACGGCACCATTTTGAGAACAAGGTAACAGCCATTTAGATTTTTACCCTCATTTAGATTTTTACCCTTGTGTGTTTTATGCACTAGATCAAATACCTGTACACTACTAGCAGCAAAAACCATTACTAACTTGAAATAGATTATGTTTTATTAAGGACACAAGAAGGGCTGTCAAATTTTTATCAGTTTGTGTACCATTAACCACTACAAGATCTAAGAGTAAAGGTTCTTAAACCCTTCCTAATCTGCCTAAAACTAAATTATTTCAAACATATCACACATGAATGGATAATAGCAGCAAAATAAATTACCATTAGCTTTGGTGCCACTTTCAATATAAAGATTTTCTGTTAGGTTACAGTTTTATACTTATACATGTATTTAAAAAATATTCATTAACCTAATGATATATAAGAACATGTCGAGATGATCAAATTCTGCTTCACTACACAGTACGTAATTCCATTTAACTTATTTCACATCTTTCGTTAGAAGGCATAAAAAAGAATAAAATTTACATTTACTAAATATTAAAATCCTCATAATTTAGACAGATTTGACTTGTACATTTTTTACTATTCTTTCATTCTAAGGCAATTATCAGTTTTTATGAAATATTAACCTTAAAATTACTGTACTGAATTGCAGTTCAAAACTGAAAGCATTTTCAGCTGAACACCGACGAAAAAAATAAATTACAGTTTTTATGCAACTAAGTCCTTAATGATCATGAAGAGAAGAAATTCTCACAATGTTTTTCATAAATACAACAGAACACTTTTCATCTACTTGATGCATGGATTTGGGGGTGGCACATTAGGATCATAATGCTTCTTGATCCAGCAATGCTCCACGATTTCATCTACAGTCAATCGCTCTTTGGGGTTGTAGCGCAGTAGCTGTTATGAAATGGGAAGTGTTGAAATTATTGGCATCAATGTAAATTTGAAAAAATGTGATACTGCATTTATTAAACCTTTTATATAAACACTACTCTAAGAGTGTGTAAACCTATTTTAGGCTAAAAGCAAAATCTAGATTTATAAAGCCTAAAATTTCTGAGAACTCTAAGCACTGTATACGATGCACATTAAATTCTTATTTCAAGGGTGCATGAAGGACAAAACCAATATCCTATTCCACAATAAATACAATGAAAATCACCAATTTATGTTATAATAATAGTGCTACCCTCACCCTGCATCATGTGATTTACTAGTAAAGTAGCTTCTTGCTGTGGTATTACTGAAGTGGAGACTGTTCTTGCCAAACCTGCCTCCAAAACATGGCATTATTTAACTTGTGTTTAAATGCCCCAGGATCATTTACAGAATTTGCTTACTTATGGTTAAATATACATCATTTTTTTAACACGTCAGCCGCTTCCCACCAAAGCAGGGTGAACAAAAGGAAAAAAAAACTCATCAATCAACACTTCCACCATGACCCATACATAATCACTCTTTGCAGAGGCACTCGGATAACAGTTTAGATGTCCCTCCAAACTCCCAATATCCTAAACCCCTCCTTTAAAGTGTAAGCATTGTACTTCCCTTAACAAAATATTGTATTACCCAACTCTCACTCCAACAGCTCATCAGGTCCCAGAAACCATTTGTCTCCATTCACTAACACACACACGCACACATGCTGAAGTCCAAGCCCATCGCCCAAGAAACCTCATTTACCCCTCCCTCCAACCTTTTCGAGGACAACCCCTACCCCCACCTTCCTCTCTCTACAAATTTAAAGGCTCTCCAAGTCATTCTATATTGGTCCATTCTCTAATCACCTCAACAACCCCTCTTCAGCCTTCTAATACTTTTAATAACTTCACACCTCTTAATTTCCACACTACGAATTCTCTGCAAAATACTTACACAACACATTGCTATTAGATACGACATCTCCACCACCTCCAGCCTCCTCCTCCCTGGAGCATTTGCAACCCATGCTTCACACCCATTCCCTTCTTTGCCTGCAAGAATTAACTTTTTTTTTGTCTCCACAGACACCGCAGCGCACCACTTGCCTTTTTTCTCTTCATCAATTCTATGGTTAACCTCAGCCTTCATAAACCCATCCACTGACAAGCCAACTCCCAAATATCTGAAAAGATTCACTTCTTCCATACTCACTCCCTCCCACCAATGTGATATCCAGTTTTTCTTTATGTAAATAATTTGATACCCTCATCACCTTACTCTTATCTATGTTCACCTTCAACCCCCCCCCCCTTATTTTTTTTAGAGAAAGGACCAACTCTTAATAAAGAAAACAGTATTTTTCTAACTGCAGTGAACTTTCAGAAATTGACACTGGGCCAAGCTTAAATGAGCTGTGTAAAATTAGGGCAGGTTGCCTAGATGACTTTTTAACCCTTTCAGAATCGGCAGGCCCTCTCCTAAACTTATTCTCAGGGTCGAAAAAAAAAAAAAAGTAAAATCTTATGAAATTATAATCTTTTCCCGATCATAATGACACCAAAAGTATGAAATTTGATGGAAAACTTACAGAATTATGCTCTCACAAAGTTAGCGGTCACGACGATGTTTACGCATCAGCGATTTTGCCCACTTTGAGCCCCATTTTCAACCAATTCCAATGTGCCAGTCGAAAAAAATCGTAACTATTTTGCTAGAACTCCATTTTTTTTCTATCGAATGAGTACAAGAAACCACCCATTTACCGATTTCAACTATACAATAAAGTGGTCAGAAATTGGCAATTTTGGCAATTTCACACAAATTTCAAAAGATGCCAATTTCCAAATAGGGTCCAGAATGAACAAGACACATTCCTGGCACTAAAATAACATTTCCTCTGTCCATTAGTCCCATCCCCAGGCCTCTGTTACATTTCTTTTGCTTTCCACTTTGAACTTTTATTCTCACAAAAAATTGAAGATTTACTGTTAGGCAGACTACTGCATTAGTGAAGAAATGGTATAAATAATATCAGCGCACTTGTGAAAGAATATTAGACTCGCCAGTTGAAGTGTATTGGACGCATGGCATGATTTGTTTACTTTTGAACTCTGGTAAAAATTGAACATGTCTGCTACTTTGAGCTCAATTTCAAGGTATTTCTCATTGTGAAACGAATAAAAAATCATCTCAATTTCTGTAATATGTCTTCCATTCTATAAAAATGAGAACAGGAAAACTAGAATACAGCCATAAATAGCATACGAAAATACACTGCAGAGTCGCTGTTTAAAACCAAAAACACGTAGCTTTTCTTCTCATTATGCACTGTGTGCTGCAGTATTTTTTTTATACTGTGCACAGTTACCACATAGGCCCATCCTTTCATATGTACGCCTACCAGCCTTCTCTCGTTAGATTTGAAGGCGCTAGAATTTATGCGTTCTAGTACGGCACCAACCCTGAAAGGTTAAACAAACCAGCTGTCTCCTACCAAGGCAGGGTGACCCAAAAAAGAAACACTATCCATCAATCACTAGCACTGTCTTGCCTACATTACTAATTGATAGCATTTCTGATAACTTTCAAAGATATACGAAGCCAATGAAACATAATACCTATGGTAACAGAAACCCTACCTCTCTAACCTTTTCAGTTATCTTATTCTTTTGCTAATGCCTGATGTAAATACCAAATACAGTGGAACCCTGTGTTTCAGCTGCTTTTTTTGGCTAAATTTTGTCCCGAGTTTCGGCCATTGCCCTGTGTTTTGGCTGGTGTACCTGTCCGCACCTGCGCGCCTCCCTGTGCAGGAGTCTTGAGCAAGTCTAAAAGTTTAGCTTTGTTTATCCTTGAGTGACCATTACCCTGCATGCTCATATGAACATTTCACAATAAATTCATTGTGTTTAGTGCTTGTTTACTGATTGTGACAAATAAGCCATCATGAGCCAAAAACTTTATAGTGGCAGTGAGGCAGTGGTGGAGGTTATAACCTGCTAACTTTTAGCCCTAGCCATAGTTCCAATGAATGAAAGAAATGCTTCTCATTGTGTGAAGCACCTACACAGTACATTGTCCATTAACCCTTTGTTGCAACCCCAAATCCTGAAATGTCTGCTGGTGTCGCAAAATATTTGAAAAAAATATATATATATATATATTTCTAATGAAATTATAGAGAATCTTTTCCTGATGATAATGACACCAAAATTATGAAATCTGATGGAAAACTTATGAAATTATGCTCTCGCGAAGTTAGTGACCTCGGCGACATTTACGCATCGGCGATTTTCCCCACTTTGAGCCCTATTCTCAGCTAATTCCATTGTTCCAATCGACCAAAGTCATAACTATTTCTTTAGAACTCCATTTGTTCTATAGATTCAGTACAAGAAACTGCCCATTTACTGATTTAAGCTACCCAATAAAGTGGTCAGAAAATGACAATTTGGCCAATTTCATGCAAATTAAAAAATGTCAATTTCAAAATAGGGTCCAGAATGAACAATGCACACATTACTGGGACTAAAATAAAATTTCTCTGTTCATCAGTCACGTGTCGAGGCTCATTTTAATACTCTTGCTTACTATTTTTAATTTTTATTCACACAAAAAATAGATTTACTGCTATGCAGACTACTGCAATATTGCAATAACTGAATAAATAACGTTAACCCATTCGTGACTGCATATTAGAATGGTTAGTTGAACATTTATTGGACAATGACATCATTTGTTTACTCTTGAACATCGGCAAAAAATCAAACATTTCTGCTACTTTGAGCTCCATTTCAAGATCCTTTTCATAGTAAAACCAATCAAAATCACTTCTATTTCTATATGTTTTCCATTCAATCAACGAGACCATGAAAAGAATACAACCATAAATACTATACGAAAATACACAATCTGCGTTTTAATCCAAAAACACGGTCGGAGTTTTTTTTTTTTCCCTCTCATTATGCATCATGTGCTGCAGAATTTTTTTTTATACTGCGCACATTTACCACACAGACCCATTCTCTCACATGTGGGCCTACCAGCTTTCTCCTGCTCGATTTGAAGCTGCTAGAATTTTTGAGTATATATACGTCAAACACATTGGCTTATAAGACATACATGACCAAAACAGTCAAAGGGTTGAAGATAAGGCGGCTTTGAAGCCACTGTCTGTTGCCATGAGCTCCATCTCGTGATGCAGGGAAATATGCTTTATTATTACGCTAATATCAATACTACAGCTGCTTTGCCTATCATAAATGATCTAATATGACATAATAAACAATATAAATAACAAAGATGTTAAATACTCCAGAATGATTTTTTTTTTTCTTTTTTTTTTCAACAAGTCGGCCGTCTCCCACCGAGGCAGGGTGACCCAAAAAAGAAAAAATCCCCAAAAAGAAAATACTTTCATCATCATTCAACACTTTCACCACACTCACACATTTTCACTGTTTTTGCAGAGGTGCTCAGAACACAACAGTTTAGAAGCATATACGTATAAAGATACACAACATATCCCTCCAAACTGCCAATATCCAAAACCCCTCCTTTAAAGTGCAGGCATTGTACTTCCCATTTCCAGGACTCAAGTCTGACTATATGAAAATAACCGGTTTCCCTGAATCCCTTCACTAAATATTACCCTGCTCACACTCCAACAGATCGTCAGGTCCCATGTATCATTCGTCTCCATTCACTCCTATCTAAAACGCTCATGCACGCTTGCTGGAAGAATGAATAATATTTGGCATAATAAAAACCAGTTCAACAGAGGTATGAAGAGGATATGGGATACAAGTACCATTCTCCTCCTATTAGAGAAAAACGGAGCATAGCACAGGGTTAACCGTGATATACACTTGTACTGCACCATAAAACAAAAAAGCTATTTTCTCTATACAAATTATCAAAAATAGCAGCATGTGTAGAGAACCTAAGATAACCCAAAAATGTCAAAGTGGCTT